GCATGTGAGAAATATTGCCTTCAAAGGATCCAGGAATAGTAGAGATCTCATAACTTTGTTGATTACTTGCACTAATCAACGGTGGATTCATTGGATTTGATACATTACTGCCCAGAGTTGGGGTAAGAGGATCAGAGGGTATGGAGCTTAAAGCATCACTTTTGGTAAAGCTATCATTAGCCATCTCTGAATCATACTGGTACCTTGAATTCCCAGGAAACCCTGTATATGGTGGCAAGATTTGTGAAACAGAGCCATCAGGCCTTAGTGAGCTTTGACTGCCTGCAGAAAGGTGTGAGAGGGCTTCTGATATCGACATTACTGGCCAAAGTTGTAGTGAAATTGTAAGGAATTGTCCTTGAGGAAATAGAGATAGGTGAATTTAGTACCAAGCAACTAATAGAAGGCATGTGAATAACCGTATAAGGATTAAAAATGGATGTTGGAAAACTCGTTGCAAGGCAGAGATATCAGGTATTTATAATGGCATCCTAGCTAGCATTAACCGGTAGCCACCAGTTCCTCCTAAAATATATTTTGTTCACAAATTATTTACATATGGACCACACTATTTATTGACTTCTGTAGTGATAGAAAACCAAGATGCTCAAGATGTCATGAAATTTGGTGGAATGTGCGAATCATGGAGGGGAAATATGTAATGGATGGGCGGGCCCTAGAGGCGACGGGCGTTGACGGACGGGCCCTGCAGGTGACAGGCGTTGACTGGCGGGTCCTGCAGGTGATGGGGGTTGACTGGCGGGCCCTCCAGGTGACCGGGATTGACGGGCGGGCCCTCCAGGTGACGGGCGTTGATAGGCGTCCTGCAGGAACAATTTTTGTGTTACCAAGAAATTGAGGACGGCAGGGCCCTGCCGTCACCCACTTAGACGGCCGTCTTTTCCGAAGGATGGACGCCCTTGGCCTGCAGCCTGAAACACCCGCCTGGGACGTTTGGGATCACTGCTGTTAACATGTGTTCTCGAGTACACTGACCTCCATGATGTCTTATCTTTGAAATATCCCTGAATTATGCTTGAATTATCCTTGTACATGTATTATCTCTGAATTATTCCAATTTTATTCCTGTTTTTCCTTCGAATGTGGGGGTACCTCTTGCCTGGGACGAGGAACAAGTGTTTACGGTACCATAAAAACTGTCGAAATTCGCCATTCCTACCGTAACCACTCGGTACATAGAGACCGTTGCCAAGCAGAACACGTATATGATCACCATCAAACTAAACTATTTACAGAAAAAAAGAAAAGTAAAACATATAAAAAAGATTGAGGTTTTCAACACGAGTATCCAGTACTACCTATGAGCTACCAATATCTCTACCAATATACCCAGGGCTTTAGCCCATTTGTCTAGGGCTCATCGAACAGAGCAAATTCAAGGTTGGTGTTTGTAGAATCAGAGGTCACCGGGAGTTCCACATTTTCCCGTTCCAAAAGCCCATAGCCCATCTCGCCCTCAGACCTCGCCCAATCACCAAGAACGAGTTCACCTCGACCAAATCCTTTGATGTTAAGCTCATGATCACATGAGCCATCAACAGGTAAGGATATACCTGTATCTCTAAAGGTTTGAATAATGATTTTCCGTCATGATTGAGCCTTATTCCACTCTTCCCAAGCTCTTCCAACTGCTTCGGTGGTAACAATATAGTGTTGACTGGTGCTCCATCTTTCAATATCCTCAAGAGCTTCTTTCTCTTCTCGGATTTCCTCTGTGAACTCCTTAATTAAGCCTTTAAAAGGCTTATTTAGGGCAACATCCAAAGGTTGAGTAAGTGGGGTTGTACCGGCGGGAATCAGAGAAGGGGTAATTTTGTGCTCGCGACAGGTTTCAATAACAGAGGAGGTAAGATGAGCTCGATAGCGATCAAAAACAAACAAGGCTCTTTGGTCTCCAAAAATTGGTACCAGAAATTGTAGGATAAATTTCTTGAAGAGGGCTTCGTTCATCCAACCAGTTGGTGAAAACTCCACATGAACGCGATTATCCCACAGGTGAGATTCGCGTTCCCTTATCTTGGTCCCTGTAGTTGCTGTAAAAATAAGAACAGGAGGTATCTGAGGTACCCCATCAGCAAATATACAAAGAAAAAGGGTACATTGACGTTTTTCTGATCCAGACTGAGCACTTCTGGACCATACGGTTCTTGTCCCTTGTATATCGTATGTCCGACCAGATAAAAACTCCCATGGGAGAGGAGTCTCATCCACATTGCAAATACGATGTTCAGGAATTCCACCTTGATCATCATTACATATGTAGTGAAGAGAGAGGGGACTTGGAGAGGCCTCGAGAGGAGAAGAAACAAGAGGGGTGAGGGTTCGATTTCGTCGATTAAATCTTAACCAGCTCAAAATATCCTCCTTATAGGTATCTGGCAGAGACTGAGCCATATTGGTAACAAACCGCAAAACAACACGATGACGGGATAAGAATCTATAAAACCAGCCTTGGGAGAATACAAACAATCCTGGTGGAAGAACAGGATATGTTGTTTTCCAAAGTTCCTTTGCCTTTTTGCGAAACCATCCATCTCTTACTGGACGACCCTGAGCTCGACGGGCTATAAAAGCCTCGAATAACTTTAGCTCCATCTCCGGCCAGAGACACATAAAGGTTGCCGGAGTATCACGACGCGAGCCATCTCCTCCTACCTGTTTCACAATCTTTTGTGAAACCTCAGGCTTCCTCTACCTGCCGATTGTACTCTTGGGAATTTTGAAGAAGACCGAGGCTTCATCAAGTGTCGGAGCTCTCATCTTAATAGCGGTGTTTTGCGCGTCATTTGGTACACGGTAGAACTCCAGCCAGTTCAACACCTCGATCTTCTGCCGCCGGGTGTACGTTCGCTCCACCCTCTGCTTTGGTGTTACCTACTCATTGCCTAATTAGCTATCGCCCGCATATGCTGTGTAAGTAACATGATGGGCACATACCGTAAGCCTTATTTTCCGGTGATTGAGAGACTTTGGTTGAGGTCCTCGATGTCTCAATCTTCGCTCATTCACATCCTTCTCCTTTAATCTCCTCAGAGGTGTTCTTGTGGGCGGCATTGTTAAAGATATCTGTTTTGTGATTGATTTCGCGTGCTTTTGACCATATTGCCAGAGGTAAGGTGTTGTTGTTTTAGTGATTCTAGCCGAGCTCCAAAAGCGGATAGCCTTGAAAATCACCTCCTTGGCAACGGTCTCTATGTACCGAGTGGTTACGGTACTGGTCCCGAGTATCCCTGTCAATCGCGACATTAGCCCCAGGATAGGTTTAGTTTGGTTTGCAAAACACAGTGAAGGAGATCCAACGTAGCCAAAAGAGGTAGGCTATACCGTGGCAGTAAGACCCTAGGCCTTTTCGTGAGCTTTTGTCTTTACATACGGAGATTAGCGACCTTCGGAGATAGCGAGTTTCCAGAGATTTCACGGTATTATACTAGAGACTCTGCGATTTCGCATCCAGAGCTAAATTCTAGCGATCTCATTGGCCCAGAACCCTGTTTGACCCACACCCAACACCCTTCCACCACACACCCTTATCCGACTACCAGTAGCGATTTTAGCTAAATTTATTCGTTCCCCAACCCCCCGGATGCTGGCAAGGAATATATCCTTCCGCCCACGTGTTTCCTTCTACAACACCAGTGTAGAGTTCGTTACGGGGTCTCCAGGGCCCTGAAAAACACGGGCCCCGGCCCTATTCCCCGCCCCGCCCATGCCCCAGACGGGCCCCCAGCAAATTTGGGTGGGAGGATACGGGGGCGGGGCGGGGAGGACCGCCACAATACCCCTCCGGGCCTGTGTAACGGCGGGGCCACGAGGGCAAACCCCGCCCCGCCCCGCCCCACAACGAACATTGCGCCAGTGCTGCTTAGAATGCGGCTCAACATCCTCCACCGCATACCAATCACCAGTCCCAAGATCCCGAGTCTATATGGTACGAACGCTGCCAAAAGCTCGACGAGAAATGGCACCACCGCTGCCAGCTGCTTAGCCACGAACTCAACTATGAGCTTCGCGGGAAATGTGACAAAATAGCCACCCTTAGGGTTGAGTGCTCCCATTCAAGTTTCAAGTTTCAACCAGTCCTAATAGCGGTATAGAGCCTAGTTTTGCACAATAAAACCGAAATGTTGAGACTTGGAAGAAACTTCAATATCCGTGGAGCGTTAGGTGGGCAATTATTGTTCCACTCTACCTATATACTTCTTATTAATATTGAGCTGTAGAACGAACCGTTTACCAAGCCAGACTAGAAAAAAAAGCTCGGGAGCAGTACCCAGACCCGAATTTAAGCAGGAATCAATGAGCTAGCGAAGACGCCGGAGTTCGTTGAAGTTTTTGATGCAGAAGTGGCAAGGCGTAACCTGGTTCCCAAAGATGTCACCCTGTATGTTGCCCTCGTCTACCATGAGACATCGAAATTCGCGCACGGCAATGATAGCATGATTACCAATGTCAGTGTTTCCAACCGTCCCGGGCGTCTCGGGCAGGGTGGGTAAGGATGGAAGGGCATGGCGTCGGTCTTTGATAAAGACCGCCGACCGAGGGGTTGACACCCGGGCCCGGGAGTCTTAATACAAATGGCATCTTCCGGCCGTCATCTGTAGGGCCCGGCTCTCATCTGCAGGGCCATTTGCAGGTGAGGCACCTATAGCGCCCGGCCGTCCCGGGTAGTGGTTAGGACGGACCACAGGACGGGCGTCCGTTCAGGGCAGAGTTCCAGAAACCGGTGCCCGTCCCGTCCTTAGCCAAGGACGGACGGACTGGACGCTTGGGAACACTGAATTTACCATCAGCGAGAGAGATTATACGGCAAATGAGCGTGCTGCACTCGCCATTATTCTAATAGTGCAGAGCAGGTGGCCGGATAGCCTTGCGTAGCGCGAGGTGATGGAGGAGAAATAATGCTAGAGAGTGGGGGGATTTTCTTGTGTTTTCCCCGTTCCCCAACCCCGATGCTCTATTTTTCTGTAAGACTTTGTTTTGTTGTCCCATGTGGTCTGTAAAACGAATTGATATCGTATGTTGTCACTTCTGCGCACGGGAAGCTTTTGTCTTTCTGACCGTCGACCGTAACTAGATTCTGACTTTCTCTCCGATAACTGCTACTCCTTTTTCTCTTGCTATTCCACTACCTCTCGAACATCGAGCTTTATATACATCCATATGATAACTTCTCCTTCGTCATCCACATGACCCCGCCTTTCCCTTTCCGTTCCCCCTCATTTTGCTTCTTCATGATTCTGGAGACTTAGATCTATCCCGCTTTGTTGACCAATCACTTTCCCTCTTGCCCCCTCGTGTTTTTCCTTTCCTTGCCCTGCAATATCAATCTATAATACACCCCATTTGCAGTAACCTCCAGAACCTTCCATCTTGCTTATCAACTCGCTTCTAAGCATTACAAACTTTGGGCACCTCCGGGAAAGTCTCCGGTCCTTCTAGTCTCGATCGATAGGTAAAGGGTTTAGTTGGAGTGCAGATGATGTATAATAGTCTGGACAAATCGAGCGGGATGGGGGGCGGGAAATCAGGTGCTGTTTTACGGGGTGCGAGGCTGTGGCACTAACTGCGGATTGAAATTCCTATATTCAAATAATAATTTCACACTGAAATGAGGCCCGTGTTTTACTGTATGAGTAGAGTTCGCGAAAGTGCTATTTCACCAGCGGGATTCACTATATCTGTTGATAAATTCCTAATAAAACCAACGCCGTAGTCGGTATTATACGTCCAACAACCTTCACAATACCGTATTAACTGAGGAGAACCGCCTGACACCTATGCTACCGATGCAATGATGGCGCTTCTGAAGGAGGAGCCTTTGGTTGTCGGTCTTGTGGGGTACTAATGCCATATATCAAGGATTCTGGCTCCAAGAGGTAGGGCAGAGTTGCAGCACTACAATTGATTGGAAAGGTTGCGGAAAAGGTTGTTATGAGAGATGGGTTTCTTAAGGAAGTTATGGGCCGGGAGTTGGAGGCTCTGGTTCCAGTGGTCGAAGGTGGAATGCATCATCTCAAGAACGAGGTATCAAGAGCCGCTGTGAAGGCTATGGCCAGCTTGAGCAAGTTGCTCAGAAAACAATGATGTCGCGAGACACGTTCCGACTTTGATCAAAACCATGGGCGATCCATCAAAGGAAACTTTGCAAAAGGTTATTCACGACCTTAGGTAGGCGACGGGCCTACGCCGACCATCTGACCACGACTTACCCATCTGGTCAAACCACTTTCATCGCTAGTCACCTCATCAGTCTTGTCTCTTCTGACTCCTCTCCTTGAACGATCGTTCTCGTCACCACAGACCTTCCAAGATGCCCTTCGTCAAACAGTTGTCGTCGTTGAAAACCTTACAAAGCTGGTTCACGATCCTGTAGGAGCTAGGGAGTTTCTCCCCCGCCTTCAGCCTGGTGTGAAGAAAATAGCGGATACCGCTACACTTCCGGCTGTCCGATTCGTTAGCCAAAATGCAAACGCTAAAATGGTCAGGGCCATGAAAGTCGGCAATGGTACACACATTCCGGAGCGGATGTCCGTTGACGAAGTTAAAGGGAATTAGCTGCGAGGGTCATCACCGGAACCGACAAGAAGAAGATTTAGAGACAGGATGGGGTAAGACGATATATCGTGGAGATGGTTCGTGAGTGCATTGTAGCTCGCGAGTTCAAACGGATTCCCGGTTGTGTCGCGGTTTACCTGGGGGATTTCCTCGCACGGGGTGATGCAGGGATGGTTGCGGCTGAGATTGAAAGATGGGCAAGGGAGGAGACACTCAGCCGATTCGGCAATGGGGTCGGGGAAGTCGGTGGTGGGCACAAACATGGGGTGGAAATTGTCAACGCAGAATTCTCACTCGCCTATGGAGGGATGATACTTCTAACCCATACGAATTTGACGGGTTAAGGGCTCACTTTGATTACTCGAAATATCACGCAATATCTCACTCTTCTCGAGTCGCGAGAGTGACTGTAGTATAAAAACAGGAATAGAAGCAAATATACGGAAGTGTGCATGTACCCGATACAAGACCTGACCTGGAATAGAGAGTGTGATCTTAAGATAGGTAGTGGGGGGAAACAGAGGTCTACAGTACCATGGATCCTGGAATGAAGGTTTAGTCTACTACTGATATGTCAAGACTGATCAGACGGGAAAAAACGCTATGGAGAGGGTAAGCGACGCCGGGCTTGGTATTCATAGAATTAGAGTTAGATTGCATAGACGGGAATCATCCTTTCAGGGGGGGTGTCCTACGTCATCGGTGACCCGCATGGGAAAAGGTGACTTTCCATGTACGTGTGATTGGAACGCACGTGATCAGCTTTCCGATCACTTTTTTCCTCACTTCAGGTCTGAAACCTAATTGGCCGCCCACAAACAGCCCAGGACAACGATTGGCCAAATTAGCGGTTTTCCGATCACTTTTGTCCACACCCTGGTACAAACTTGCACAAACTTGTGAAATCCTTCCATCCACCTTCCCAATTCCATTGACCACCTCCCATTTCATTTACAATTCCCACCTCCATCCACTATCCTAACCTCGATCCAGCCACCCCAACTATCATGATTCCCTATCTCTTTATCTCTTCAAGCCTGATTCAGGCCAAGCATACTCGCACTACAGGTTACAGAATGTTCTGCAACCTTGCAGCCACTGTCCAGTGCACTCGCGGTATTTCTCACAAAAGTACCAGTGATTCTTCATACAATGCGATCTTCTACACAAGGTCCAAAATTGGGACATGAGAGGAGATGAAGCTTAACGCAAAAAATTTGCTCCTGAAGGCTCTGAAGATAGAGCAATTACATGTTGGTACGGTTGAGGATAAAATTTGGATCGGAAATTCCCGTGGGCTCGATACAATCAAGCACTCTCATAGTCTCAATACCGAACTTGCCTCACTCCACAACTATTTTGCGTCACTGGAGAAGAGGATTGCATCCCAGAAAGAATCCCAAGATAGCCAAGGGGTTGACGCCCAGGCCTGGGAGTGTTAATACAGATGGCATCTTCCGGCCGTGATCTGTAGGGCTTAGCTCTCACCTGCAGAGTCACTTGCAGGTAAGACCCCTATAGGGCCCGGCCGGCCGTCTTGGTTGTGGTTAGGATAGAGCACAGGATAGTCGTCTGTCCAGGGCAGAGTTCCAGAAACTGGTGTCCATCCCGTCTGAAGCCAAGAACGGACAGACTGCACACTTGAGAACATTGGACCTAACCGACTGCAGTCAGGAGAGTGGTCTCAGAGCTGTGATTGGGGGAAACAAATCATACAAGAGAATAAGGCAACATTTTTTAAGCACATTCAAAAGAGATTATCTCAAAAAGGAAAGCGAGGAAGAGCACAAAATCATTACTGCAGGCAACCAGCCAGCCGGCACATGGGGGCGATGCAGCTGTAGATGCTACCTTATGTAGTAGACTAGGAGTATGCAACATCTTTGATGTGTTCCAAATCCTTTATGGCCTTTTGCCTCAAGCTGTGGCCAGTATTAGTAAGGATTTCAAGGCTTCCTTCTACTTGCAAGTAAAAAAATACTGATTTTTCTAGTACATGAGAAAACTCTCACAATATTAAACTTGTATGCAGAGGTCTTTGGCTCTGATTTTAAGAAGGGAATGCAGGAGTTTGAGCAACTATTTATAGTGATCCCAAGAGGCCAGTCTGGACCATCTATTATGTATTACAAGGCTGTCTTGCAGATTTCCCAGCCTCCTGATTTGTCCAGAGTTGATTTCCTTGGCCTATACTCAACTTGAATTTTGTATGATATTTCATGTAGGATACAGGTACATTTAAATTCAAACTAAAAATACAAATTAGTCATGATAAACCAGTTATTAAAGCATTAACAGATATAACTGATATAATATTTTTTACAACTCTCACTAAAACAACGTGTTTCAAAGCTAAATAGATAATTTAAAAAAATAGTATTGGTTTCGTCAAGTTGTTTTCATCAATATTTCTTCTTTCTTATAATATCTCTTTAGTCTTCTCTCCTCTATTCCATCACTAACCTCTTCTCACTTTACTCTCTCTACTTACTTCTCCCCTCTTATTATCTTTCTTTTACCCCATATATTTTACCTCTTTCCTCTCTTTTGCTCTCTTTCTTCTAGTCAAGTCTTTTATCTAATTACTTTGGCTTTATTTCTTCTACTAGATACTAATATTTTACTCCTTCTTTATTCTATATAAGATAGTTGTCTTCTTCTCAATCTCTTAGGTTTGTATATGGATATAAAGCTAACTTTTAGTAACTATTATCAAAAAACTAGAATATCCACCAAGGAATATGATGGTAACAATCAAGTACCAGTGTTTAATTTACAAGAAGAAAAGAAAAATGTAGAATTTGATCAATATTGACACAGAGTTTTTAACAGATTATGTAGATTGTATTTAGTAAGTATTCTGAGATCTTGAAACAAGTTATTAAATATATATTAGAATTTAAAGTACTAATAGGAGAAAAGAAAGAAAGGGCTAAGAATCAACAATAAAGATATCAATTACAAAATGCTTACAATTTACCTCTTGCTACTATGGTATTTAATCTCCAGACTATAAGTAAATTTAATAAGGCTTCTGTTTACTGAGTTATTTCTAATAGTAGCATTAAAATCACAATGAGTTAATTGTAAGGGACAAGGTCCGAGCTGGTAGTCCCAGGCATGCCACAGTCAGGCTCCAGAGATATGAACACATTCGGCATCTCGCCAGAGGTCTGGGCATCAGGGTTCCAGTATCCTACCGGAGGTCTAGACAGGAGGGGCCTCAGTATCTAAGATGAATCTGGCTTATTGGTATGCAGCCGAAAAGCAAGGTCCCAGGGGTCCAGTATCCCACTGGAGGTCTATACATCAGGGCAGGTTCCCACCTCTGAGGTCTAGACATCAGGATAGGTTCCCACCTCTGAGGTCTAGACAGATGTCCAGTATCCCACCGGAGGTCTGAGCAAGAGACAGGTATCCCACCTCAGAGGTCTAAGAATCAGGACACGTTCCTACCTCCAAGGTCTGGACAGATGTCCAGTATCCCACCAGAGGTCTAAGCAAGAGACGGGTATCCCACCACAGAGGTCTAAGCATCAGGACAGGTTCCCACCTCTGAGGTTTAAACAAAGAGCATCGTCGTCCAAGGTTAATCTGTCTGATTGGTATGCGGCCGAGGAGTGAGGTTCAATGAGGGTTACCAACATCAAGTTGGAGTCTATCCATGAGGAGCATAACCAATTAAGGTCCAACTAAGGAGCATCGATTGTGAGCCAAAATTATCATCCAGTGTCCCATGGGAGGTCTAAATCAAAATGGCCTCGGTATCTAATGTTAGTCCATCTGATTGATATGTGGCCGAGGAGTGAGGTTCAAGGAGGATTTCCGACATCAAGTCGGAGTCTACCCGTGAGGAGCACAATCAACTAAGGTCCAACTAAGGAGCATCCCTCACAGGCCAAGATAATTGTCTAGTGTCCCACTGGAGGTCTAGGGCAAGGGGTCTCATCGGCTTAAGGTTCTTTCATCCCACTAGGAGACGGCTGAAAGGTGATGTTCAGGGAGCGTTACCAATCTCAAGCTGGCTGAGGTAATCGTTCGGTATCCCACTGGAGGTCTAGGCCAAGTGTTTAAGAAGAGTAAGGGGTAAGCCTAGACGGTTCTAAGATTCCTTGCCGAATGCAATATTGTTAAGGGATATATAAGGGTCAGAGGTTCAGAGATCCTAGAGGTGTACTGAGTTCAGGAGGGAAACTACCATCCAGATAGCTAACCAAGTACAGGCCAACATAACAGAAGGCCATGGGCGCAAAGGTTCAGGTGGGAGAACTATCATCAAGATAGTTAGCTGAGGACGGGCAGACAGGAAGGAAGGCTACGGGCGCAAGGGTTCAGGCCGGAGAATTATTGTCAAGATAGTTAACCGAGGATGGGTGGACATGAAGGAAGGCCACCGGCGATGAGGTTCAGGGGGGAGAACTATCATCAAGATAGTTAACTGAGGATAGGCAGACACAAAGAAAGGCCACAGGGCCAAGGTTCAAGCGGGAGAACTATCGTCAAGATAGTTAACCAATGATAGACAGACACGAAGGAAGGCCACAGGCGCAAAGGTTCAGGTGGGAGAACTATCGTCAAGATAGTGAACCGATGACGGGCAGACAGAAAGGAAGGCTAAGGGTATATCAATTAATGAGCATGAACCATACAGCAGGTTCACGCTTGGGGATCTGGCAATGACCAGCAAAGTAAAAACAAGGAATTGAGTAAAGAGCGATGAGGTATCAAGTTCATTCTCCTCTGGTTCCGGAATGCAGGATCGTAACAATCTGAAGGTTACTTCATGATAAAGATGAGAGCAAGGAGGGGACGTAATTCCTAAGTATATACAAAGGTAGGAGATTACCAGATTGCGTAAAGAAAGTAAAATATCCAGGGGAACACCCTATAGATATACTCAAGGAAATCACTCAATCTAATGGTGCTCCTCCAAGTACATAATATAACAACACCATAGAAAATGCTCCGATTTATAACTGTCATGGCCACCTGGCTATGGAGATGGAATATGCTTGGAGTTTTGGTTGCATATATTGGTTGTGGTTTCCTTGGTTACATAGTAGGATTTCTGTTGCACAAATGAATGGGATGCATTATGG